GAATTTCCCCCGGCAGGGAATCAAACACTGGAACCAACAGAATCAACCAAACACACTTTCAAGTGGTTACTTTCCACGGCCCCCTGAACTCACCCCGTAAGAGGGTGAAAAGGAGGGTTAAAAGGGTGCCCATGCAGAAATCAGATCTAAACTCTCCTGGTGAAGACTCAGATGTGGAAGCTTTGACAATCCGTCCATGATGTAGAGCTTTGCCGCTCGGACAGAACTCCAGCGTCCCTTGTCGAGAACTAAATCGTAGGAGAGACTTTGCTGGAAGAGATGGGTCGCACCCCCGCGTCTAAGGCTGTAAGGCCTGAAGCCACACCTTTGAAGTTTGAAGAACTTACAATATTCTTTGAAGCGCTGACGAAACACAGAGGGCGAACCCTGCCAAATCTTAGCAAACTTCAAATTCTTCTCTTGCAAATACTCCAAAAGGATCTGAACCATAAGCACCCACGGGTGGTGCAAAGTCACAACTTCTGTAACCCCCTTCCGACCAGAAGTCTTGGCGTTTGCTAGCCTAATGAGGCCTTGCCCATTACGGATGAGGAGATCGGAACCACAAAGTGAGAGCATTTCACCTGTCCTCAAGAGGCCTTCAAAGGCAGCAAGAATCAGTGCCCCAAAAACCAGGTCACCCCGAAAAATAGCGAGGGCCGCAATGGCGAACACGATTTCTTGAGCCATAAGTGGTGCACGAGAGGGTACCTCTAATCTTCTCCACACTCGAAAAAGCTTCCAGGATTCCGGGATCTTGCCCCGGATCCCAGGACAAAAGAACTGAACTCCGCACAAGGCGGTGGAAACATGGTAGAGTGGCTTCCCTTTCGACCATGCCTGCTCAATCCATGTGCAAATTGCATCATCCAGCTGTTGTTCCGATTTCGCTGCCCGAAAAAGAGGTAAGAGCTTCTTTCCAAAACGGTAGTACTGCTCCAATGTACGAGGTTTTATTATTGAATCACGCAGCACAATGCCAGATCGTGCACGAGCGCGCTCGGCCGTAGACCGGCGGCCCAGCACGCTAGCGTCGCGATGCTTCATCCGTAGGGTTCTGAGAGAGGACTCTACATGGCCCAGAACCAAGTAAAGATCAAACATGCATTGAGCTGTTTGAGAACAAAAGCAAGTTTCCGTGAACCTGACCTGCCTTTACCCACGATACTCATGCAAACATAACTGTCAGTCAAATGAAAGATTCGTGCACTTGAAGCCGATCGTCTGGAAATATGCTAGCGGACAGCCAAAAGGATTGCACGAAGTTCAAGACAATTAATATGTTCGCTCTGACTCCACCTACACCGAAACACCGGCTCCCAGTTCCACCATCCGGCTTCCGCCCCTTGACGGGGAAAAGCGCGTGGATTGAGGATATCTCCCGTTGAAACCCGAATGTCAGACCCGGTGTGGTTGACTTTGGTCAACAAGATGCGGTTGAGGTCACTTGAAGGGAGCATTGAAGACAAGGCTGTGTGTGAAACCCATACTGCAACCCTTGGGAAATGGGGGGCCGGACAACGAAGTGGAGTCCTAAAGCCAGGTGAGAGTCCCATTCGGTTTGCTAACCAAGCGTAGTCCACTGTTGGCAGAAACCGCCTACATAGCGCGGCTCCAGGAACCACGAACGAAAGAACCGAGAAGCTGTCACCAAGTAGGGAACATCGCATATCTTCATAGGCCTGAGCCCCCATCTGTTTTTGTTGACTGGCCGAGAGGCAAAGTGAAGTGTGTCCTTCCCCGTATCCAAGAAGGCGTTCACGCTCTGCGGCAGATGCCAGTCGCCAAGCATCTCCTTGCCAGAACAAAAACTCAAGTTTATATTGATATGGCGGATGCCTATAACTGTCAGAGCGCCATCTAGCCAGTGTATCTTCGGAACATCTATTGTATCCCGCAGGCTTAGGAGGAGGTTGAGATCTAGGTATTGCCTTCATACATGTAGGCAGCACAGTCCCGTCCCAAGCTCCGGCACGTTCCCAGGCTGGGTCAACCCATTGTGCCTCAGCTGGGTAAGGCGCAGGCGCATGCACCCGCCTCCAATACTGGTGTTGTGTAAAGGAGAGCCCTGACAAGGCACCCTCCAAAGGCTCGCTGCACCAGGTGAAGCGTGGTCGGCGCATGGGCACTGAATCCACCGAATCCAGTTTATAAGGCCAGGTGTGAAAGATCTGGGATACTTCTTCACACGCTTCTTTGTCCATTGAGGAGACATTCTCAATGACCGCTTGACAAGCACCTGACTTCCGAAGACCTGTCTGAGGAGTCCCTCTATGCGAGGGATCTCGAACACCAAAGATGAAGCTGGGCCCTGAAGCCCCTGACGAAAGGCACGCGCTCGTGAGAGGTCAGTACAGGGGAAACCAGCCCAAAGGTGAATCTCCTCGATCATGGGGAATTGTAAAAGCCATTGATGCACCGTGTCATAATTTATATCCCTAACATCCGTGACAACCTGCACGTGTGGCCACCGTTTCTGGACTATTCGATTCGCAGGCCCATAGATCTCCACTGCGATCATGCCTTTTGGTTGAATATTGAGCACATCATAAACTCTAAAACAACCTCCAATACCATTGAACAGTGAGATCACAAGAATCGGGTGTTGGTCCACCTCAAAACTCCGAGTCTTTGAAGCCAATACAAAGTCCATACCTGCTTGTGTCAAAGAGTGTGATATTCCAACAGCGCCCCCTAAGGTGGATGCATCTGAGGCGGAGGCACATGAGTCAATTGTGGCATGTAGGTTGCAGTGCAGAAATGGGGTGAGTAGGATTAAGGACCAAAGCTCCCTCCTAACCCCTGCGACGACTCGAGGACCTGATGCCTTCCCGGAGATGAAGTCCCAGACATGTTCCAAAACAATCATCCCTGGCCGTCGAAACTGCAACACATGAACCCACCGCCCAACAACAATCTGTACTACCTTCTTCCTCAAAATACGACCTCCAAGTGCCCAAATTGTGGTCTGTACCAACTTTAAGAGGCGCTCCCCTGAAACTGAGATCATCTGGTTCGTGCCGTCGACCCAGGCGCCAAGTTCCTGGACTTGGGTTGCATCTGAAATCCTCTTCTTGGCGGAGGAAACCAAACCTGACCTTGACCACGCATCTTCAAGCCGGCTATGAAGAGCCTGTCCTGCACTGCTTGTCTCTTCTGCCAGGACTTTCTGGCCGGCGCAAAAGTTGTCAAGGTAGACATGCCACCAGGGCATGTCCTTGGCTTCTCCAAGTTCAATGCAGCTCGTCAAGAACGGGGGTAGTGCCCGACCACGAACTAGCTGGGTCTCTGAAGGCATCCCCCCACGCAGAGCGACATGCTCGGCAATTTCCTGCATGATCGACACAGATGAGCTCCATCCCATCGGGAGGACTGCACAAGACAGAACATAGGTCGACGACGGCTCTAAGTCGATTTCGGCCCCGTTTACCTTCACATTGAAAGCGAGGAATCTTTCCCACTGTTTTGGGAGCCTAAACAAATAGAAAGCCGCTGTAAGATCCGACTGAAACAGTGCCAGCCCTTCGCCTCCCCCCAATGAGAGTCCGAGCCACGCCGTTATCGAAGGCAGGTGCCTCACGGCTCCGTGAATCGAATCCATACAAGCGTTAGCAGGGATGAGGTTCATGATCAAGCGAAGGACCTTTCGACCATCGGGTAGTGCAGTGGGCTTCTCAACCCCAAAAAGTCCTGAAAGCACCGGTGGTCCCCTGTAATGAAAGACGTCCTCAATCTTGGTCCATGTGCAAATGTTCCGCTTAACAAGCTCTTTACAAAGTGGAAGGATCTCATGTGAAGGACAATGAACCTTAGCTTGTAGAGGAGGTAGAACCTGGCCAGTGTCTGCGATCACCAAGCGTGAAGGGTCCTCCAAAAGCCTACGAGTACCAGCGGAAACCACCCCTAACACATCGACCGAACCGCCATGCCCTGCCGGTGGCAAACCCGGAACAACCTGGTCCAATGAAAGGGGGGTGACATGAACTCAACTCCTCACCGGTGTAAGATATCCGCTTTCCTTTTAGCTCCTCACCGTCTCCTAGGGCCGCTCCCTCTGGCATGGGAAGAACCTCGAGGTGCCGTGCCGACACCCATGAAGCGTCCAGTAAGCTCTGGTGAATCGCGACGAATCTCTCCGCTAGGACATCCCCTAGCTTTGCCAGTTGGCCTTGTCGAAGAAGGTCCCTTGTCGATGCCAGCATGTGCAGCTCGCGGAGCTCCTTCGAACGATGGCTGAACTGCGGCTTGATGATCAGGGAGAGGTAGGTCATGACTTTGACTCCTGATGTCAGATCGCCATGGCGAGTCGCCGGCGTGTCCACTTCTGCATTCTGTTGAAGCTGCGCGGACACATGCACCGATCCTGGCTCCTTGAGTGACTTGCGCTTCAATGGTGCCTCCAAAGCTTTCTCGTTCGAGAACTTGCACTGGAGCTGCTGGAGCAACTTACAATCCTCCCATCGGAAAGGGTCACTCTTCTCTTCTTCTTCCGCTTCTTGTCTTTCTTCTTCTTTTTCTTCTTCCCATGTTGGCGCTTCTTCTTCTTTTTCTTTTTCTCTTTCTTGCCCTTGTCGATGTCCTTCTCCTTCTCCCGGGAGGGCCTCCTCCCTTGACTCCTGTCCGGCTGCTTCTTGGTGTCCACGGCCTTCGCCTTGCTGTCGACTGCATTGGAGCCTCGAGGAAGGATATCGGCCGCTCGCCTGATCAGCTGCTCGTGAAACCCGCTCGAGGTACCAGCGCTTATAGCCTTGTGGGTGGTCGCCTTCTGATTCCTCATCGCCTCCGGATCCAGGAGAGTCCCAGCAACCAGGCCTGTCTCCTCCACAGACTCTGAGCTGCCTGACCCAGAATAATCTTTCGAGTCCGACTCTGAATCGTCCTGGTCTCCAGACGAGCCTTGGTCCGGCGGTGGATCTGGAGGGCCACCAGCTGCAATCTTGGCCTTCGACCTCTGTAGATCTTCTCTGAGCTTCTGGATCTTTTCGGCTGGAAGGGCAGGTTGAGGAGTTGAAGACGTCCCAACTCCCTTGCCCTTTGGATCTCCGGCCTGACTGGGGGCCTTGTCTCGGCTTTTGGCTCGTTTTGCAGGCTGAGGATCCCCAGGAGCCTCCTTCCCGAGCCTTGCGAGCTTTTCTTGCAGGCCCTGTAGGCTCGGTTGGACCAGCCTCCCCAGGGAGCCCTGATTCATCTCCTCCTTGCCTCTTTGAAGGCCGTCTCAACGCCGGCAACCTTGGGGCTGCTGTACCCTCTGAAAGGCCCGGCCCAAGGCCAGCCTCTTGTACCTGCACCTCTGCCTCCTCTGTCCAGTCGACCTCCTCTGACTCTAAAAGCCACTTGCGAGCCGACCTGACTGCAGCAGGGCTCAACTGATCTTCTGCACCTGCCAAGGAGTGCCAAACGACCTCTGAGACATGTATGTTGCCGGCCTCCTCTTCGATGCATGGGTTGGAGCTGCAAAAATGCAGCCACCCCTGCCTTCTGTTGAACCTCAAAGACAGGTCCTTGTTCAGGCTTTGGTCTGTTGCCCCAAGACTTTTGCAGGAATGAGCTGAACTTCGAGGACAAGGAAATAGCCAAGTGTAGATGGATTGCTCTGATATGAGGACGTGCCCAGGTTTACTACCAGCACATCTCCTCTCATAGGGGCCAGTGTCACCCATTGTACCCAATCGGTCAAGGTGAACAACTCGCCTTCTCTGTGCACTCGGTGCGTCATCGAACCAAGTCCAGGGAGAACCGAGCGTCCTCCGAAGACAAAGTACTAAAAACTGTGAACTCAACTTGCGATGGATTGGAGTATCAGGTCGATCCTCCAACCGCCCAATCCTTTGATGCTTGCGTCCACCTCGATGTCGGTTCTTCTGATGCTGCCCACCGTGATCACTACGATGGCGTCGCCTCTCACCTTCTGGCTTCCTCCGAGTCTCCTTGCTTGGAGCTGCAACCGGTGGTGGCCTGGATGGCGGCGGTCCCTTCGGCTCAGGGGGTCTGCGATCTCCTGATCCTCCCAACGGCCTGTGAGTGACCTCTGCCTCCTCTTCTTCCTCTGACTCTTCCTCAAAGACTTCTTCAGTCTCTGAAGGCTCCTTCTTCTCGTTCTTCTCGCTCTTGCTCTTCGCTGCCAGGCCTAAGGGCGGACCCGGCCTAGACTCCTTCTTCCTCTGCAAGACCGCTCCAGAGTCTCTTCCCTGGCTCGCTTTCCAGCAGCCAAAGGCCGTTCCAGCCGCTGAGATTCAGCCTGGGCGTTGGTCCGGATAGCAGCAGTCAAGGATCGAAGGAATCGGACCTGGCGAGTGGCGGACAAAACGATGTCCTCGGCGAGTCGCCTCGAGCCGGAGCACGACCAGTGAGAGGTCAGCTCCAGCCCGAGCGACTCCCACGACGAACACCCGAGGCACCAGGTGTCGCCGTCGCGAGCCGGGACCTGATGACACTTATTGCATGTCATCAAAGCCCCAGCCCAAGTGAAGCTAAAGAGCCGAAAGTGTTACGAGCGTTCAACACAGTCTTCTAAAAGAAAACATTAGTATTGGGGGGGTCGAGCTGGGATTGATTAATAGGGGGGGTTACTTAATCCTAGGTGCGCATTATCTAAAAATGACCTCATGGACATGTGAGGCTTTGCAGACCTCTGACCGCTGACCTCTGCTTAATTTTGTATCACCACAAGCCAGAAGAGCTGAGGAGCAGCGGCGAAATCACTCGACCCTCACCTCCCGCTGCTTCTCGTGTGCTCCCAGGGAGGCTTGGACAAACATGCCCGTGGCAATGTTGGTGAGCGCCAACACCACGAACGCCACGTACAATGCCTGGGACGCAAGATCGCGCGACGCTCGAACGGGACGCTCGGGCGATGGGATCGAAAATGGCTTGCTAGGGGAAAGCCAGGGATAACCACAGACCGGTTCCTGCAGTGGCCACCCGCGAAGCACGAGGCAGATTCGAGACCCAATTGAAAGGGCCGAATGCATTAGTGACAGAAAAACTGGCAAAACCTCGAAACCACAAGCCGTCACATCGCGCCTGGGATTTTGCCTACTTAGTTTGAGACACGCCTAATCCAAGTGAACCGGGGTCAATCGTAGGTTCTTTTGCACCTGCCAAAGCTTCGGTTTTTCACTATTAGCGCGCCACCTCAGCTGGTCCGAATCCAATCCACGAGCTGGTCCTGGTCGTGATCCCTTAATCATCTGATCTTCTGCATCATCTAAGGTTGTCTGAATGACTGGGCCTGTAAAGCCCAAACCGAAAGAGTTCACCAGTGGATGAACAGCTCAGTAAAGGGGCCAGGATACGGACTGCCTAGTCAAATAGTCAAATAAAACTATAAGCATACACCATGATAGAACAGAAAACGGTCCTTAAACAACGCGTCCAAATTCTACATTGTCTGTCCTACATGTACATTCTCCGTCTTTTTCGTAGCTTCACCGCAGCGCAGGTCCAACTGTGGGATCAACGGGCAGCTCCTCTAGAAGTCCTTGAACACTTCACCACATTGTACAGTGGTTTCAAGAGTAGATGATGGCACCAAACCAATTGTTTAATATCTGGGGGTCCATAGCAAGCACCAAACTTGGGGATTGTGGCCATCTCAAAACACCCTGATATCACTTCCGACCCGGAACGCCCCGAACCACGCCAAGGTGCATAGGGCACTGCGAGCCATCCACCAGCGGCCTCTTCCTGGGCGCAGGGAACGACAGAACGACGCGCCGCTTGCCGGAGGCATCGAAGGCTTTGGTTCCCAGAAACCCTGGTGATGCTTGACCATCCAGGTGGGAATAGGAGACTTTGAATGGCTTTGATTCATTTTTAACAAACAGCAGTACATTCGCCTCACGGCATCCGCACGCATCTGCCATGAAATTTACCTCATTCAAACCGTCTGCGCCGTCTGCGCCCTGGAAGATTAACATGGAACCTGAAAACCACTGGGTTGTAGAGGAAAGTAGTCTCCCAAACGTCCATTTTCAGGTTCCATGTGGGTCTCTTCCCGGTTGGTCCCCAATCCATCTACCCTGGACCGATTGTAATGGAAAAACATCTGCCCGCACTGCACAGAAATTGATGTCCCAGTCTCCAGTGGTCTCAATGCTACGTCCCAACTGAGACCTCCGGTCATCGACTGGTACAGTGAGAGCATGGTTCCTTAGCTGAATGGTTCCGTGCGATGCGCAAAAAAAAAACTATCACGTTCAGTCCAAACGTGAGACTCAAAAGAACATCGTGATGTATTTACATGTAAACCGGTGAAACTCCCAAAACACTTGGAATATGACAATCTGGTTATCCTCCTTGACTCTACGGCATGAATATACATGAATCCTCTACGGCATCTGGCAGTTTTCTCCAGGATCCACAGCCAGGTTGCGGAGCAAGTCTGAGTAGTAGTACTGGAGTTCCGGCTTATCCACCATGATGTCTACGTTGGCCGCCCCTGCGTCAATGATGAACCTGGCGTCAACCCGCAGTGGGGCGTTCCGCACCGCAGCGTAAGTCTCTGGATGCTGGGATTGAACCTGCCCATCTTCCAGAACCGCTTCAACTTGTGGCCCTTCACAACTTGATCTTCTGAAAAGGTACACAGGTCGTCGTGAAAAGTACGTAGTTCGCCCATGTTCATCACAGGTAGTCAGGTAGTGCGGCAAGCACGCAAGCATCAGACGAAACCCTCGGCATGCACGATCTGTGGGCACCCATCAGTCGTTATTTTTGGCAGACCCTGGCAAACTGGCAATGCACTAGTCTCCGGCACCAGTTGGTTGGTGGGTACAACCAATATCCTCAAACATGTCCACCGGAAAATCTCTGTTTGGGTAGGGGTAATCCACTCTTCCTGGGATCTGTTGGGTTGAGACACATGCTGACCCACTGGTCTTAGTGGCTCCTCTGACCCATTGGGCCCTTTTTTGCAGCCGCATGCTGTCGAGGAGCTGGGCAAAGAAGACTGCAGCAGCATAGATAATCATCACCAGCAGCCTGCAAACAGAACTTGAGGCCAGAGGGGGTGAACGAAAGCTAGCCGGGCTTCCGGTGGTCTGCTGCTGGTGCTGCTGCTGCTGGTGCTCCAGCTAGCTAAGGCTAGCTTTCGTGACAACAACCTCATTGAACAAATACACCAAAAAAAACTCGGCAAAGTGGTTTTACACCGGTCCTTGTGTGGCCACACTGAGTGGCAGGGTACTCAATAACATGAACATTCATTTTTAGGCCATACAAACTGAAGTGAATCTATCTCAGCTGTCGCCCATTCTCCAAAGGATGTTCATGTGTCTTTTCGGAAGTGGCCTGCCGGTAGAACAAGACACGTCCAAAGGATGTTCATCCATATTATTCTATTTTCCTGTTTTCCCTGTCCAAGCGCGCAAATCCCGGGCCCCGAAATTTCGGAGCCCCCCGGCCCAATGCGGAACCCGTGTGCCCCACATGACTCCCTGCATCTCAGTGACACCATGGTCCATCCCAGAGCTCTCAACGTGGACAAAATCGACAAGAGCATGGAGCGCAGGTCCTGACGTGTCCGTCCGGCTGACGCCCAGTCCAGGGCGGAACGGTGATTCGAATCCACCACCTATCATCCCGTGTTGAACAACGGCCATGTGAAGCGCAGCCACGTTCAGTTCACACATGTTCACCCCCCCCAAAATATCCTCAAGTGGGATGGAATTGGGTACATGCCTTGCGTCTTTCGTGGAAGATTTCGAGGACTTCTTCGGTATGGACCCCTATCAAAGTCATTCCTTTATGCCCGTTTGGTCTTGATTGTGAGCCTCCCCTTTTTTTCACTTCTCTCCCACGCTGGAGGCTAGCTCGCTCAACATGTTAAAATGCGCTGCACAACAAACCCACATGGAAGTGGATGATGCCCCCTCTTGGATGGCCATGTTCCTCTTGGCAGGTAGTAGGTGTTTATTTTTCCCCAAACAGCGTGGGCACACTGAGGGGTTCTTACCGTAGGGGACAGGAAGCTGACGCTTAGATCGCTGAAGCGCGCCGGCGTGAACGGCTAATTCATTGTTATTTACAGTACATTCATGCCTCTCGACATCGTCCATGTGCATTTCGACTGCGCAGGCTCGCAGAATCTGAGTGTCTGGCGGGCGCTTCTGGTGACTGCGCTCTCGTTGTGGTGCCGTGCGGTGGTGCCGTGCGCATTTTCGGACATGGTGGCAACTTTTCGTCGCAGGCGCAAGGGAAACCTCGTGTTTTGGTGCTTCAAAGTCGGCTTTTCGTGACAGGCGCAAGGGATTGGAGCTGTTTTACTTCGAAGTGCAGTTTTCGTGGCAGGCGCAGCACTTTGGACATGGCGGTGATCGTCGAGGAGCTCAGATTTCATGACAGGTGCAGTGAATCGTGACTTTTGGACAATTGGCTCGTTTGCAGATTTCGTGGCAGGCACAGCACTCTGTGACCCTCGATGTGCAGATTTCGTGACAGGTACAGCACTTTGTGAACCTCGAAGTGCA